GGGTGGGTGGGGGGACATGAGCTTAAATTCCTCATAAATTTATAAGGTTATGACCAAATTACTAATCCCTTTTGGGGCTTAGGACATGTTTTGCTCGTGAGAAAATATTTTTGCCAAGGAAATAAATTGTATTCTATGCTTGTGTTATAAGAAACAATTAGAAACCCCCCTCTATGAGGAACCCATTTATGATAAAAAAAAGCCATAATGTGAGAAAGCAGTTGCTCTAGATCCCAAAAGGATTTGCAGCTACAGTCATGGAAACCTTTCGTGGGACCAGATGGGGTACACCGCCGGACTCCAACATCTCTCGGTCTCCATCTTTCTCTCTCACTCTCATCCTACTCAATAACAGTGTGCTCTCTCACTGTTATTTTGGAAGACCGACATGAGGGATATTTTGGACTAAGGAGATTGGAGCCCCGATCGATCACCGTAAACACGTTTTGGTTTTGAAAAAATTTAATGATAAAGATCCAACTCGATAGATTTATTTTAAAAAATAATCTTTCAAATTCCAAAACAAGCTAGAGGAACAAAAAATTCTTATGCCGTCGTTCCACTTGGAGGGAGATCCGTATGTACCTTTTTGTACATGCCATATTGACAAAAGGATCCCGTAGCATCTTTCCACTTGGAGGGAGATACAGTATTAATGGTATGAAAGGGCAAATAGCATTTGGGTAGTATTTATTAGAACTTTGTATATCCATTTTGACCCCAAAAAATATGACGATCTCAATGCAACTCTTTTTTAAGTAAAACGATTGCCTATAAAGAGACTATTTTTTTTTATTACAATGAAGTTATAACTTTTTCCACTCATTAGATGTCAATTGGATAACTTGAAGTGAGTCATAAAGTTTAAGGATTTTTTTTGGAATTTTGCTTCTATTCAATGACATTCTTACAATCACTCATCTTGAAATTTAAAAGACAAAAATGATTGTCCTTGTATAAAAAGTAAATGATCTATTTATAGACCATCCCCTAAATTCAAATGAGGAAAATTTAACATTTTGGGCATATGGTGACTTTAGTGGACAGGTGGATGGAAAAGATATTGATCCAATGTTTTCTCAAGGATATCAACCTGCGACCACCATGAATTTCAATTTTTGTTATTTCAATGCCTTTATTTTTTTGGGTGTGTTTTGTATAGAGCCTAGGCTCTAAACAATCAAATTAGAACCTACCTTCAAATAGTGTTCAGAAATGTGATTTTAATATTGAAAATCTTTGTGATAGCTTTAAAATATATTTTTAAATTTATTTATACAGTTTAAAAAATTGACAATCCAAAAATGCTTTACAAAATACATTATTTCTAAAACTTGTAGCCCATTTTTTCTTATGTCTATACATCTTGATGTCGAGATGATCAATTTGAAGATATTTGGACATCAAAACAACTCTTTTATATAAACTTCTATATTTGAGGTAGGCTTAGATTTGATTGTTTAGAGCCTAAGCTCTATATAAACTTTACCCTACCATATACAAGTACCCAACATTCTATTATGGGTGCAGTTTGTATAGAGCCTAGGCTCTAAACAATGAAATTAGAGCCTACCTTCAAATAGTATCTAGAAATGTGGTGTCAGTACTGAAAAATACTTGTAATAACCTTAAAATTTATTTTTATCTTTATTTATAAAGTTTAAAGCTTAAAAAACAGTGTAGATCGATAGATCTATAAAAACTTGAAAATCTTAAAACTTAATGGTCCAAAAATACATTACAAAATACACTATTTCCAAAACTTAAAATCCATTTTTTTCTCATGTCCATGCATCTTGATTCGAGATAATCAATTTGAAGATATTTGGGCATCAAAACAACCTCTTATAGTGAAATTTTTAAAGTAGACTCAAATTTAATTCTTAAGAGCCTCGGCCCTATATAAACTTTTTCCTTCTATTATTTCTTAGTGAGAAAGATAAATTTGATGCAAGGTCACAATTTAATATTGAAATAGTGATATGTCAAATTAAGCTCTAT